GGCCGAGGGCTCCAGGAGGCTTCCCGTGTCTGCTCGGCCACAGCCTGATTTCCACTTTGTTTCTGTGATTTCATACACACACACCTCCTCCCACATCTCCCCTCCGCCATTCTCGCGTGCTCTGCTGCACACAATAGAATGGCGGTGTGGAAGCATTCTGCGGCAGCCATGCGCCTTCCTACAGGCAGGGCCAATGGCCGCTGTAGCAGTCACCACCCCGCAAGGCTCGTGTGACAGCTGGACAGGTCCCTAACAAAGGCCTGGGCTGCTCACAGGGTCCCAGAGAACAGATGGCCTGTGGTCCCCTTGTGGGTATTGGTGCCCTGCACTATACCCCCCACCCTGCCCCCAGGGGCACACCAGATGGACAGCCATCACCCGTGTGCTCCCCTGGACAGTTCCAGACCGCTGCTCTCACAGAGACCAGCCTGCCACCCTCCAGCTCCTATTCTGCCTGCATCCCGAGGGCTTACTCAGCTGGACAACCATCTCCGTGACCAGCTCCTCCCATTTCCCTGGATTGGATGATCATCCCTAGCATCAGAGTGGGATTCAGCACACTTTTGTTTGCCCACCAGATTGTGAACTTCAAAGGGCACAGGCTGTGTTTTCAGCATCTTTGGATCACAAGTGCCCAGCATACAATAGGTCCTCAATCCAATGTCTGTTGAATGAATGAATGAATGTTTACAAGCAACACCTGAGAGTTGTGGCGGCCAGCCAGGGCGCTGATGCAGCGTAAGGAATGAGGAGCAGCAGGCAGAACTGCTCCAGTCACAGCTTTGGGCTGGGAAACCTGCAGAGATCCAGCTGCAAATGTGGGGCTCTGGGTGCGAGGTCACATCTGCTCCAAAGTTCTCTTTCCTCTAAACTAAAACCCAAGACGTGACCTATGACATCAATTCAGCCACAACCTTCAACTTGCAGCGGGTCTACTTACCCCCGGGGATGGTTCATTCCTTATGGGGACTGAGCTCTGTTTGGAGAAACCCTTTCCACAGTACAACTCCCACTTCTGTAAATGCTGTGCAGGTAGCGATCATGACAATAATGTCAGCACAGTAACGCCCATAGCTACCACTTACGGAGTGCCTGCTGTGTGCTGGTCCATACAGAATGCTTTAAGTAGGTTACTTGCCCAAGTCTCACAGCTTAAATGGCAAACCCAGAATCTAGTCCCAGGACTACCTGACACCATCCACTATTCCCAACGACAAAAGAAAGCTCTTTCTAGATTTGGGTGGGGGGCGGGGGGGGAGAGAACATTTCTACTTCTCAATAGGAGCATAATTCCTAGAGCTATACTGTCTAGTAGCCACATGTGTTTTAAATTAATTTAAATAAAATTTAAAATTCACTTCCTCAGCCTCGATAGCCACATTTTTAAATTTTTTTATTGATTTGAAAAAGAAAGAGAAAAAAAATGTTAATTTGTTGTTTCACTTGGTTGTGCATTCACTGGTTGATTCTTGCATGTGCCCTGACCAGAGATAGAACCCAAAACCTTGGTATATCGGGACAATGCTCCAATCCACTGAGCTACCCAGCCAGGGCATCACTAGCCACAGGTTAAGCGATCAAGCACCACTGACTGAAGGCTCTGGCATCAGGCAGCAAACAGAGAACATTTTCATCATCCCAGAAAGTTCTGCTGGCCTAGCGCCTCTCCCTCTAGATCTGAGTAACCTAGGAGAAACCGTTCTGTCTTACCCCAGGGGACACGCTACGGGCCACCATGCATTTCCCTCTCTTCTATGCTGTGATCCTGTCAGGGCAGTGATGTGTGAAAACATACTGGTTTCAGCCCCAATACTATTCCTCTTAACAAAGGGCCTAGGATATTTCTTTTCCAAACCCAATTTTTTAAAAAAGAAAAAAATCTCAGTAGCATCCCTAACGTACACTAGGCACTCACTGCCAAGTCCCTACTGGGCCCGCTCTCTCCCAGGTCAGTGCAGCTGCCCGCATCCGCCTTGGCCTCCAAGCCCTCTCTCCCAGGGGAAGCTCCCGGGGCTGGGCACTGGGGCACCAAACCCTGGCAAGGAGGTGGCCACCTTACCGCTGACTTGAAGCTCACGGCGCTTGCCAGAGCACAACCACTTTCCAAGGACCTAAGTCAAATTTCTAGCTCCCGGCCTGCTCCTAAGGATGGAATACAGGACTGTGCCGGCGGTTCTGGACCCCAGCTCCACCACGCTCACATGGCCTGCTAGAAGCGTGGCCACGCGTCCCCACCACAGGCTTGCACTTGCCTGGCCGTGGACAGGATATGTTCTTTACGATTTTTGTTTTAAATGTGGTGGTTTTCTGTTCCCTTCAGCAACCCTTTGATCTCAGCGTGCTCCTGAGCGTTTTGAATTATAAACCACTAGGATAGGCCCGACCTTCTTGTCTTTGACTTCATGGTGTGGCTCTTCCTAAATCTTCTCTGACCTAGTGTTATTATTTTAAAATGAAAGGCAATGGAAATTGAAGTTGACAATGTCAGGCCTCCCTTGGAGAAGCCTGTGATTGTGACCCTGGAAGAGGGTTAGGTTAACTGGGGGCTGGGGACCTGCTGTCGATTTGCAACAGGACCTGCTGGACAAGCCCAACAGTCCCCATCCCCCTTTCCTGCATCGTTACCTGCCCAGGTGACTGCCTGGTGGGAGACTAAAGGAGATGAACAAGAAAGCCTCACTAAGAGAGCCGGGGCTGGGACAATGTGTTCAAGAGCTGGCCATATAGATTGTTCCAAATTGTGTGTGCATTAAAGTGAGATTCTGTGAAGGTCAGTGAGCTTCTCAAGGGGAGAGACTGTGATTGCTATTGACTGAATCATGTCTCTCCCCTCGTCCCCCTCCCCCCAAAAAATCCATATTTAAAGCCCTGCCCCCAATGTGATAGCATTTGGAGATAAGGCCTTTGGGAGACAGGTATGGATGAGGTCCTGAGTGTGGGCTGCTCCTGATGAGATTAGTGTCTCTATAAGTCGAGGAAGAGACCAGAGCACTGTTTGGGGCCCTTCCTCCCTCCCCCCACCACCCACCACCATAAGAGGACACAGAGAAAAGGTTGTCATCTGCAAGGCAGGAAGCTCTCACCAGGGACCAAATCTGCCAGCACCTTGACCTTGAACTTCCCAGCCTCCAGACTGCGTTGGGTAAGCCCCCAGTGGTATTTTATTATGGCAGCCCAACCTGACTGATACAGTGGCTTATGCATCACAGCATCCCTGAAGTCTGGCACAGCGCCTGTCACACAGGAGGCTTGGTTAATGGGTCAATGTGTGTCATCCCCTGTCCTGGTCAACAGGTCATGCAGCTCTGATGGGCTTGGCCCTATCCCCATTGTGACCCAAAGCACCCATTGGTGAGAGAATCCGTCACCTGGGGTCAGCAAGCAGGCATTCTCATGATTTTGCTTGGAGGGAAAAAGCTGTGATTAGGCCTCATTAACCCTAAGTCCTACCAGTACAGCTGTTTGATTTGGTCACTGAACACAGGCCACTTGTGGAAGATAACAAGCGATGGTACAGAAATTCCCCTGCCTGTCTCTGCAGTGTGTGCCTGCCCTGCCCCTCAGGCACCTGCTTCCACGGGCTCCAGCGTTTCTGCAGGTCCGTCCTTGCAGACAGCGGCTCTCTCGGCATGGTATTCTAGGATGCCTTCCTGGAGTAGGTGGGCCCACTTGAGTTGGTCTCCAGATTTGATAAGTGGCAAAGAGGAAGAAGCAAAGGACTCTTGAGCCTTCCCCATGGTTAAGGTAGGTTTGGGGTTGTTGTTTTTGTTTTGTTTTTTATTGATTTCAGAGAGGAAGGGAGAGAGAGAAACATCAATGATGAGAATCGTGGATTGACTGCCTCCTGCACACCCCTACTGGGGATCGAGCCTGCAACCCGGACATGTGTCCTGCCCAACACATGTGAACTACTGCTTCATAGGTCAATGCTCAATCCCTGAGCCACACTGGCCAAGCTAAAGTGGGTTTTGATGAGATCCAAACCTACTGTCTGGGGGAGGAGCCAGGCAGGCATTACAGGGAGAAAGGGGAGCACTTAGGACTGGTGTGGGTCAGAGAGGGGGCCTAGGAAAACCCTTCTGATTTGGCTTCTGCCTGGTCCTGAGAGTTGATTGAAGGATGGGATACCCTGCATGGTCGTGAGATTTCACACTGCATAGTTTATGATCAAAGACCTGGACCACGAGTCAGAGCCCTGGCTGCACACTAACCATTACCAGCACTGTGTTCCCCAGGTAAGCTGAGTCATCACCTCCAAAGGTCTTTCTGTGATGCTACAATTAGAACTCCTCCCAGATGAAAGGGATTAAACAAAACCTGGGAAGAGGGGTAACCAGAAGCCAGGGTGAACACAGCCACGTCCTGGAAAAGGAAACACATCTGTGAGTTCAGAGAACCCCACGAGCCCCGGGAGGCAGGTACATATAGTTCATCCTCCTACAGAATTAGCTAGGTCCCCTCTTTTTCCTCCCACCTATCCAACCCTAGCACCCCAACACCCACCCCTCTCTACAATTCCCTCCCCTCCTGTGGGAAAATATAGTCCAAGCTACAGCTGGGCTGGAGCCCTGGGTTTGGCTTTGGGAAAGCATGAGGAGTGACTCTTGGGGGCTGCAGGTTGAGGGGAACATGTGGAAAGAGATGAATTGTATTGGAAGAGGGAGAGAGAATTGGGTGCGGGCAGTTGCTCTGCTCGTGGCCAAAGCTCCTTACCCTGGTCCTGGGGCAAATGGTCCCTCAGAGCACACAGAGACCCAGAGATCAGAGATCGGAGATCAGGAAGGGAAGCTTAAGAAAGACAATGAGACCATGTGAGATGGCCAAGCCTTCATTTTCCTCTTCTGTAAGGAGCCAAGTCAGTGACCCGCATGCCCCAGGCCCACGGAGTGGGAGCAGCAGGTTTGGCTCTTCCCTGCTGCAGGACCTTCCCAAGCCAGCGAACCTCGGCTGAGACCACACCCCTCCAGCCCCTGGCCGTCTCCCACATTCCCGTCCTGGGGACAGGCGGGCCATAACAGCACCCTCACAGTGGGGCACTCACAGTTGAGGGCCACAGAACCACTCACTCCTTCCAAAACTATGTGTTGAATGGCCATGAAGTGCTGGGCGCCCCTCCCTCGCCTGCGTGTGGCAGGCGGCACTACCGCTGACCAGTCCAGACCTGGGCCATTTCACGCCAGGGAACCTCTCCTTCAGCCCCCAACAGGCCCCCACCTGGTGCCTGAGGGCTGGGATCCCACCTCTGAGGAAGTTTACGGGGTTGGCCCTCAACCTGTCAGGGACACATCCCAGCTCCAGGGTGAGGAATGCCTGATCCCACCGTCTCCCTCAGCCCACGGGGACCTTTTTGCGGTCTCCCTTTGGGGTGCTTCTGGAATTCTGTTCTCAGGCCTTCAGAGCCTTGTGATAGGGTCTTACCCCCTGGGGTGCTAAAAGCCACCATTCTGGCCATTCCCCACAGGCAACCCCGCAAACACCCCCCGCGGGTCCCCTCGGATCCAGGTGCACTAAAGTGCTTCGACCTTGACGCTGGGGGTGGGCGACAGGGTCTCCAGGTGCACGCGCTGGTGCTTGAGCAGGTGCTGCTTCTGGCTGAAGCTGCGCCCGCAGGCGGCGCACCGGTAGGGCCGCTCCCCCGTGTGGGTGCGCC